ATATACACGTGCAAGCAATACGCATGACAAACCATGCAACGAATGGGCATACGAATTTACGCTGGTAAATGTCGGTTCACGCTGCGAAAGCGTGAGGAATTTTGTTCGCGTACGACGTCGTCGGTGACGCCGAGGGCCGAAGGCCGAGGGGCCGAGGACCCACTTCCGTCCACCGGCGCTACATCGTCGCGGTCCGCCGCCGGCCTGTGTATGCCATTGTCAGGAGTGACAAGCGACGACACCGACGCAACGCCGGGCGAGACAGAGAGCACACCACCTGTTACACGCACCCCGCTATTTACAAGCGACAACGTACCCCGCGTGCACTCCGTCGAATATTTACATATTCATTATATTCCACGCGCGCTTTCAAACGCCACGTCCGGATTGAGATCGATCGAGTAGACCGGCCGCGGGAGAGATCCACCTCGTATCCGCGCTTGCGTCGACGGAATTCGCGTTCGTCGTAATTCATTACGATAATTGAAACGCCGCGCCCGTGCGAGAGCGAGCACGCGCGCGCGCAATTAACGCGAGTCCCGCAATTGAAATATTTCATTTTGCGTGCGAGCTATATTATTCGCTTTATGGTCCGCAGAGAGAGAAAGAGAGAGAGAGAGAGAGAGAAAGCCGAGCGCATACGGCTATACATTACAACGGGGGCGACTTGGTAATATTACACCACCGCCGCCGCCGACGCCTCCATTGTCGGTCGTAATAGAAAGGCATTGTCGCATAAATTCATATTATACGATAACGGTGATACGTCGGTATCAGCTTCCTGTTTTAACGGCGTAAGAACCGTTAAAAGCGTTCCGTTCCGCAACGAGCGCTATCCGAATCCGCGCCGAAAATAGTCGCCTTTCTTGCCCGACGTCGTGTAAACGCGTGCAATGAATCATTCGCGAGCGTACACGCGCGTGTTCGCTGCGAAATTATCTCCGGTTACATCGCGCGCTACAGTTGAGTGCCACTTTGCAGATACGTTATGCCTGGTCTCGCGTTATTAAGAACCTCGAGAAATTTTCATGGCTACCTCACATTATATAGTTTCATAGTGTATTTTAAATTATCTCTCTCTACGTCGTATAATTCTTATCTGTTATATCATATTTTTTTCTCGTTCTATTTCCGTATCCGCGCTCAAGCCATTTACTGTTTACACCCTATGTGTGCGACCCTGTGGAATTGAAAATTATAAGAAGCTGTATCTTCTGTTTACGAGACTATTTTGAGATATTTTATGAAAATTTTGTTTGTGTCTACTTTTTTACATTCTTATTTTTCTTTATACATTATACGTTCTATCGGAATAAACGTATGTTCTATTATTATTTAAACTGTTAGCTTCTCATAATTTACCACACTACGTTTACAGAAGTTTACATGCACACGAATGTTTCTGTAAAAATTTAGCACAAACAGTTATTCTTTTTTTTTTTACTAATACGCATTGTAAGCCGCAAGTGAAATGTATATATTCAGATGTCATCAGCTTTTTAGCGTTAATGAATCGTGTAAAGAGCAATTTATCATCATCTGTCTAAATTTTGAATACGTATAAATAAAACATTGTTTCCCTTTGTAAGAAGAGTAGACAAACAAATCGATCGTGTGACATGTTATTTCAGCATTTTATTCACATCGTTCCTCTGTGTGTACCAGAACATTTAAAAACTGAACGATAATCATATATCATTCTATGTTGTATTAACACTAAAAAAGCTCGAGGCTTACTTCGATAGGGCATTCCAAAATGACAGAGAAATGGGAAAGATTGAAGAGGGTGGAGGGCAAAAACACAACAAGTTAAATTCCATCGATCAAAACACTAATTATTGTTGAATTGTAGTAAATAACACTGGAATTAAGCCAATAGGGAGGCGAGTTAAGTATCAAGTTATTTACTCATCTTCTCCATAGTCTCTCGTTGTGAAAAAGATAAGCAAGTAAATTGTTACTAGACTTGTCATGACTTCTGCGAATTTATACAAATAAATTTAATTATTAAAATCAGTACTTTCATTTTCCGATCGTTTTTCGTGCCGAGTTACGCGCGTTTACACAACTTTTTTTTATTTTATGATGCATTTTATTACGCGATTCTCCGGCTGTTCTTGTTGACGAAGAATATGAACTTTTCTGGAGTTATAACAAGGACTCTTTTTATATGGCATTCAACAGGTCATGGCAAATTTTTTATCTTCCGACGAAATTGATGAACGACATAACATTAAGGGTCAACAAAAGTCTTTATTATTTATCATTCGCGAACAGATGAGGAAATGTATTCAGTTTACAAAACGTGTAACATATATATTTCTACTTGAATATTCAAAGTATGGATAAATAATTTTTATATAAACACAAATATATTTATAGATATACATTATATTGTTCTATCAAATAGTTGACTAGACAAATTGAAGCGTGCATTGCTATGCCACAAGTCGTTCTTATAATACAAAATATTATATCGTTTTTTTTCTAGAGACAAGTCTAGGAAGCTATTTCTCAGTTTTAACATAAAGGCACTTGATTCCTTTCATATGAAAGCTATATAGATACATGCATTCATATTGCAAGGATACATCGGGGATACCAGAGTTTCCATCATCAGTTCGTATTCACATCGCGCATTTAACGTTAAATCTATCTGATGCTCATCCCACGATGTTACACATCGAATTCGATCTTCGTATTATAAATATTATAATATGTACATACATAAAACTTAGAATTGAACGGCAACATTCAGCGGTGAACGCGGCGCTAAATGAATACCGTATAAATTATAGGAAATCCAAGTGCTAAAAAATAGAAAAAACTCTTATAAATATCTGAACTGAGATTTAACTGTTTATGCCTAAAAAATATTTAACACGAATATAAAATTCTTTATAATTTGCTGTTTTCGGTATGCACTTGGAATCCTCCTTAATTTATGGCAATCAATCAGCGACGCGGGCACGGGTCGTTATCGTGTATCAAGAGATATCAAATCGGCGCCGGACAACACACCACCAACGTGCATACATCGATCATCTCAAGTAGCAAATATACACCAACAGTAAATTGCGTGCAAGCGTGTGATGAGTATACGTAAGAACGATTATGCAGAACATCGAACAAGACTGATCGCAGAGTACGAGCGAGCCGAGCGGAGGCGGGACGAGACCAGCGTGTCGGCCCGACATACCCCTCGTCGGGGTTGGCGTTACCCGCCGAAGCGTTTGCGTTGATCGTCGTCGCGCAAAGTCCGCGAGGCGCGCTCGCAGCGACACGCACCGCGGAACGTAGGCATGGCATCGCGGCGTTCATAATATGTATATCACGCAATCCAAAAAAGGAATCAAATGATCATTCGGTTTACCGGCGTCGTTCGGAACAACCCTCACGGACGTACATAGCATCACGTTCGAGCATCGTTATCTTCTCTGTCGTACGTTTCCCTCCCAGCCACCTCTCTATCTTTCCCCGTTCGCATCCTCTCTCTCTCTCTCTCTCTCTCTCTCTCTCTCTCTCTCGCTCGCTCTCTCTCCCCCGTTTTTCCGCGCTCTCGCTCTAACGCCCTCCCTGCCGGTAACAGACACCCCGACTCCACTTTCTCCCACTCCTGTCTCTCTCTCTCTCTCTTTCGTACCCTCTTTTATACACGAGAATGCACGCCCGAGGCGAAGTTTAAGGACCGTCACGCAAGTACATTTTCTTACACGAATGTCCACCTCGGAAGTCCCGCGGGCACGACGGACACGACGTCACGACGTCTACACCATCCTCCGTCCTCTTCTGCGTCGCGTATTCCGGTCTCTGTCTCCCTCTCTCTCTCTCTCTCTTTTTCTCTCTCCCTCTCTCTCGCTCCTTCGGACTCACTCCTCTATCCTTCGCGCTCTCGCTTGCCGTTGCACTCGCCCCTGCGGCCGTCGTCTCTCGATGCCGAGGGAGAGATCGGGGCGACGGACGATGGGAGAACTCGTGGAACGTGAAATCGAGATCTGTCTCGTAGCTGCGTGGCCGTGTGTCCGTGTAGCGTAGCACGTGAGTCGAAAGCGGCGAGGAGAAGACGGCGACGGTGCGATGGCTGGTGCACGGTACACGAGCGGCGGCGGCGTGGCGTCGTTGTGCGAAGGGCGAGCGTGATCGTGGGAACGAGAGAGAGAGCGACGAGATCGGCGACGGCGACGACGATGACGACGACGGCTACGGAGAGGGCGAGAGCGTGCATATACAGAAGAAGAGAAAGAGAGAGAGAAAGAGAGAAAGGCGGAGAGGGAGAGTAGAAGAAGGAGCGAAGGTGCGGAGGAGACAGATGGAGCAAGAGGAGGTGGCAGAGGTGGAAGGGGGGAGGAACGAGGTGGTAGTACTGCACTCGTCCGTCTCTCTCTTCCCGCGGCGACTGCGACTCGCGCACGGAAACTCGGAGTAGTCGCGTGCCTCCCGGACAGCGCCAGCACCCACGAGAGAGCAGCGAGATGATGGTGACGGTGACGGTGACGGTGACGATGACGATGATGATGACGATGACGACGACGACGACGAGAACGACGATGGAACGATGATCACGAAGCCGACGACGAGAACGACGAGGACAGACGGCGCTCGATCGAGAACGACCACAGCGACGACGACGACGACCAGAACAAAGGGAAACGTAGGATTGTCGCCAAATTTACGCCGACGGGAATGACGACGACGAAGATGACGACGATGACGACGACAACAACGAAAACTCCGACGACGATAGTGCTGTTCTAGGCGTCGCGGCGCTCACACACCGGCTCACTGAGCTCGAGGTGGGCGACACCGGCGGAACGGAGGATCACGGCTACGACCGACGAGGACCGAGAGAACGAGCCGGAGCTTTCCGACCGGAGGCGCAGGCGCGACGAGAGGCAGCCGTATAGCCGTATACGCGAGAGTGTATACCCGTCTCTCCGCGTTATCTCCCTCTCGGTCCTTCTCGCCTCTCGTCTCTTTTCTCTTTATCTCACCCCTTGTCCGCTTTTATACGCGAGCGCCGTATACGCCGTTTCTTTTAATCTTGACTCAATGCCCGAAGCGCTCTGTATACCCCAAGTCGTACGCTCTTTGGGGAGGGATCGTTGGATCCGGTAGTATATCGATAAATGTGGTTTCGCCCTCTTTCTCTTTCCTGCTCTTCTCGCCGTTTCTCCCTCTCTCTCCACCTATCAAATCGACCTTTTCTTTTACGCGCCATCCGTAGGACGTGCGCCGCGCTCCCTATATGAACTTGGAAAGGTCGATGGGATTTGGCGTGGGAGTCCGTTGGTCGGTGGTCGCTGTTGTTGACCGTCGTCGATGTCGTCGTGATTGTCGACGTCGTTGATGTTTGATGACACACTAGGTGCTCTGGGCGGCTGTACGGACGTGCTTGTCGAGCGGACCACGTGTGGTCGAGAGTTGTACTTCGCTTTGTGGTGCTATACTTCAGGACACGGTTCGGCGGTAACGAGCTCGAGAAGGGATGGGAATGGTCCTTTGAGCGATGTCGTAGGTCTGGTCTCTTCCCGCCTGGAGGATACTTCCGGCCCTTTTCCACGGGGCTTCCGGCAGCCCTTCTTCTCGACCGGTCCCAAGTGAGACTTCGTACCCGTGTGCGCGGGCAGGAAACTGACAGAAGCGCTGTTATGCCGCTGGAACATAATCGACGAGGAAATTACGTGTACCGTGCACGTCACATGCGACGCCGGTACACTCTTGCCGCGGCTAATTTACAGTACGTCCTGAAAGTACGAGCAAATTGCTTCCAGTAATTGCTTTTAGAAAGACCGCCGGCTACTTTTATTTCGCGCAAGTAGGTTAAAGTTATATTTTAAAGAGGGTTAATTTTTTCAAAGAAGGTGCTCGAAGCTCAGCTAAATTACATTGAACAATTATTCTAATTAGGCTATTATATGTAAGCGGTCTAAATAAGGCTGTTAAGAGCCGGCCTGCATATATAAGCGCTCACTTTGGGTTTGCATGCTAGCGTTTGATGAGACATTGGAATTTCGTACTTATTCGAATATGATTGCCATATGACATCGAATACGATTGAATTCTTATTGGAATCTAATTATATAACAATAATTATAAAATGGAATTATTAAAAGTCGCATTTTGCGCTGGATGTACGCAGAAAACGACCAAGATCAAAGTACCCGCGTCTAACGCGTGCAAAACAACGCCGAGTGAATTTCTAATTGTGAGAAAGGAGTGTTTTAATGACGATTTCAGGACGCGCAGTCAGATGAAAAACGCCTCGCGTACGGGTGACGGGAAATGCATACGCATTTCTGTTTCTCTTCCTGTGAGAAATTTAAATTGCTAGTTACTCCTTATGCGAAGTAAGAACGCTACGTGAATCTATTGATATAACGCGGTTTATGTTTTCGCAATTATACCGTTCCGTCGACCGACTTTTCTCAATTGCTCCGTATATTCGAGATGAAAAGCGCGCCCGGCGCGTTTCGCTTAATATGAACGACGACGTACCTAAAGCAGATAGTCTGAGACGCTTATGGCTCTCGAGCGATATTTTCAAAGTGCACGCCCGCGGAACGAGGAAACGCTCCGCGCCGGTCCCTCCCTCCCTTCCCTCCCTGCCGTACCATTGCCCGCCAGGTAAACAAGCTCTTTATACACGTACAACGCCGGCGTATGTACGACGCGGCACTGCAATTACCCTGTCTATCTTGTAGCGAGGTACAGAGCCGAGGCACGAGCAAAAAAAGGGAAAGCTTACCACTCGTGCACCGGCCGCGCCGCGCCGCGCCGCGCCGTGGAAGCTCCAATATCGAGATGTTTGAACGTAAAAATGCGCACCCTCGCCCGGTTACGTTATATCGTATCGTCAAATTATTTCGTGCGTACCCCGACAATCTCCCAATATTTATAAAGCACCCCACGCGCGTAGGCGTATCTCACTTTCCCTGACCTACGACCTTTCACATTCACTTTGCGGATGTTAAGCGAGAAATTCGCTTGACGGCCGTAAAATGTGAAGAATTTATTTAATCCAGATGATAAGATAAGACGGGTTTTTCTTTTTTTTTTACATTCCAAGAACGCAAATCCCGTCCAACGTGCACTCTAAGGACGACGTATGTATACTTGAGCTCGAAAACGAGATTCGCCCATTGACTTTATCGAGAGGCTTATTTTCGTATGCAGGCCTTGCGCTCACCGCCAAATACGGCTGTGACCCTCATTCCATGTTTACGCTGAATCCGATATCTCGATGATAAACGAGCTGAGACGTCAAAATCGGCTGGACACAGTGAGGACACATAGCCGTGAAGTGCTCGCGAAAGGATGCGCTTGTGCTTCCTGACCTCACTTCTAATTCTAAACGAGAAGTCCCTCGAAAAGTTATCTCCTAAATAACGTCACGTTACATGTAATAGTAATAAAAAAGAAGTCAAGTTTCCAAGTCGAGTTCAAATGGAACTGCTAACAAACTGCAAGCGCGGAAACTCAGATTTTTGATCAATTTACAAACTTAAAATTCGACGTATATATAGAAACACCGACATGCGTTCGGAAATATATTTTTTTTTCTTATTCATCTTGACCACTTATGTAAGTTTTTAATCATAATTTATTTCTAGCTTAATATATAATTAATGACTGAGTTTTATTTGTAACTTAAACTATACTGTTTCGTTTTTCGATTAATATGCTTTTATACTTAAGTCCGATCATTAACCATAGTTATTCATTCAATTGCGTTTGATTGATGCGCTTATGTATTTAACCATTTTATTATGAGATTACTAGTCAATTTTTTATTTATTTCTGATATCTACTCATCTTTTTATTTATTTTATGACATACAGTCTTATCAGATTGGTTCTTATTGCATTCTGAGGAAGACTAACAATAAGTAAGTCCAAACGTTAACTATTGATATCTATATTTGTTCTAATAAATCGGTTTTTATTTGAAATAACATCCATTGTTGTTGCCGTTTGACTTTTACACTTTATAGTGTTTGGAAATAATAGCGCAGCGTAGGCGTCCAAATCGATACCATAGCGAACGATCGTTACGTTCGAATCAATTTTCGCCTTCGCAGATTCGTTTATTCCGAGATGAAATCGAACGTACGCTCGCGTCGGCCGAGGAGGAGTCGCGCACGAGTGCCGGATACGAAACGCGCGATTCGCAGCGATTTTGTATTCGCGCGACTCGCGAGAATCGGCGGGGATGACGAATGTCGCCGATGGCGGCAACAAGCGGGCCATCGGCGGCGTTCGTATTGCGAAATATTCGACTCGCGTGCGCGCTATACCTGGGTCGGCATCCATCAAAACGTCCTGTACGTGCATGCGCGCGTCCCGCGTATCCTCGCGTATTCGCGCGCGCACGTGTCGGCCGGAGGAAGCCGGACGAGACGCAATCGCGAGGATCCGCGGGCGGATCGATGTGAATCGCGGCGCGAGAGGCGGCGCTGCTGGACCCGCGAAACGTATGAATATTCCGCGCGTGCATCGCACTCCGAATGCGGCACGGCGTGCACGCGGGTTCGCCTACGGCTTCGCCGGCGCGTCCGGCGAAGATATTGAACCCGGGATGCCCGCGAATCCGAACGGGAATTCTGAAAACGACTACGTGACGCGAAGTCACGTTCAAACGGCTCTCGATATTGGTTGCTCTATTCTCTATTGTACCTATATTTCAGAAGACAATCTCTACTTTGTGTTAAACTTAAAGTTTCTGGCAAAGCCTATATATCAAAATATTATTTCACATTGTTTATTTTGACTGTCCAGCAAACTTGATAAAAATTTGCCAATTTTTATTAATCATTTTCATCAATTTCAGTATATCGTCAATCTTAATTCGATGAGTATAATCGCTATTTGAATCAACGTGAGTCAACGAGAACATAGATCGTTTGTTCCCTCTTCCGATAGGATGGCAGTTGGGACAGCAGTATCGCCTTTTTACCTTCCCACCCTCCATTTTTCCCAACTCATAAGTCATTGCTGTATGGTCAACCGATACAACGCAACGGCGCGGGAGTGGGGGAGGAAAGTGGCATGCGCTCGCACACTTACGCGCCCCGATTATGCGAGGAGAGCGGGCGATTTCAAAATACGCTCCGTCGACTTCGGGAGCCGACTCCGAATCGATCGGAGTCTCGCTCTCCGATGCTCGCCACCGAATTCACGCGAATCTTGCGGCTATGTTAATATTCCCGAAGTGCGTATCGATATCCATTCAGCGGGAGAGCACCCTCTACTTGGACGCTCGCACGAAAATTGCGAGCGGGTATTGGATTTGAGTACCGTCGCTAGGCTAGGCTGGCGTGGATAGTAGGCTAGCGCGCGTGTGCTCCGTGCGCCGCAATTACTTAATTGCTCGTATCTGATTGGGCCCGCCGCGGGGGAGGGATAACGGTGTCCTCGGTTCGTGATTTGCGCGCCGCGCGTGCAACGCGCTTCCATTGGCCGGGTTACCTGGGCGGCCGACGAATCAGCCATTCATTTCTGGAACCCCCGCACTACCGGCGCTAGTAAACCCCGAGAGAGAGAAAGAGAGGGAGAAGGGATGAGAGAGAGAAAGAGAGAGAGAAGAAGAGGGAGCGAGAGACTAACGGCGGCAAAGTATGAGGCGCGCGCGCGCGCCAGAAAGAGAGGGAAGAGGAGAGAGAACGGCGAGTATCGAAGTTTCGAATGCGCCCGACATCGATAGCTAGCCGCCGTCGCCGCGCTGCGGCAACGTCGCGGCGCGTCCTCGCGACAGTATGAGGCCGACGCGCTCTCGCGTGTCACAGAAATCGTAGAA